GTGTATGGGCAGCGTTCGACTGCTTCTACTGTAAGGTTGCACGACTTTCGTCTTCCGAGCACGCTGGAAAACCTGCCGAAAATCGTCCGATTTTTGGCACGTTGGTGGAGCGCTTGGAAGACGAATACCACACACGCACACTGCCCGCTCAGCACTGCAATCATCGCAAGTATGATCTGCCTGTCCAAGATGGGCAGATTGTACAAAAGTTTATTCACCTTACAACCATCGCACAACAGTGTGAAAGGACAGGAACACTGATAAAAGCAGGTCAAAACAGAACAGAAAGGATAAGCTGACCACATGTAATAGAATATAGTCATCCAGTATTGTAGCTGTAGTATCGGAAAAATAGCATGGCCCTACAAACCTTGTACCAGTGTCTTTTAAGCCAAGCAATACACTAAGACAGAAGCTTGAACATCCAAAAGACCCAACACCCAAACACAAATGCAGTAACTTGGTATATGCGTCAGGAATGCAGACCTGTACATTGGGGAGACAAAAAAAAAAAAACAACCTCTCAACAAACAAATTGCCAAACATAGGAGGGCACATTCTACCAGTCAAGACTCAGAAGGTTTTCATATTCCTGGTTTGCAATAAGCGTGAAAGAGGCCATCAATGTCAAACTGGAACATCCATCCTTGAATACAGGAGAGGGCCTTTGACACCATCTGTCACCCCCATTCAATATAATGCAGTTTTAATATCTCTAACCCCATGTTTTGACAACAATTCACATCTTCAGCCATGGAAATCATAGGTTTAACACCTACCGTGTTTCCCCGAAAATAAGACAGTTATTTTTTTCACGAAAAAAAGACACTAGGTCTTATTTTCGGGGTAGGTCTTACTTTCGGGGAAACACGGTAGGTAAGCTTTCTGATACCAAGGATGAGATTATATACCTAGAACAGGGTGGCTCCAGTCTTCACACCTCCCATCCTGTTATTGGACCATTCAACATCTAACTTTACATGATGATTGGATTAAATTGTCTGTGCTACCTGTGTGGCTATAAATGCTGAGAAGTGGCTCAGATAACTTACAAAAAGTCTTCAACAATACAACTCCAGTTGAATGGGACTAATACTAGCTATAACAAGAGTTGGATCAATAAGAACTTTCACAGATGTATTTGGGAAGTTATTAGCCAATATTTTAAGGAGTTAAAAGAAAGGAAATAACAGGCAGTGTATGGACCAAGAACATTAGCATTTTGCAAAGGCTCAGTGTATACTTTGCCATTTAGCAAACAGTTTGCTTGGTGTTGGCTAGGTTCAGATTGCAACTGATTATGCAAGCCCATTGACTTGGTGAACTCCCACCAGCAGGATCTCCTTCTGCAAGCCATCAGGCAGGTCTGCCTGCATTACCATGAATACTCAGCCATTCAGACAACCTGCCCTACTGCTGTGGAGTTTGTAGGGCCAGATCATGAGAAGTTTTCATTGCTGTATCCCAATTTGGACAGAAATGTTTTAGAAAAATCTCATCTTGAATAGGTGTTTTCATTAGAAGTATCCC